ACTTTGTCCACCAAGATTAACGTTGGCTTACATCATTTTCTTACGTCTAACTAATTGAGAATTTATTTCCACCAAACCACAGTTGTTGGTTGTTGGATATAAAAGACGGTTTTAGTGAGTTTTATCTTGTTTACGGATGGGAATGCAAATTGTCAGATTCATCAGAATGCCTCAGAGCGATCAGTACCTTTTGATCAATACCTTCTATAAATACAAGCACATTAGGAAATGTGCTGCTGGAAACTCACAAGAAGAAGGGGTCATTGCAGAGAGGAAGAAGAGAGAAAGTGCTCGTTATATCTATAAAATATAAAGTCAGAATGGCAACACCAACACTAAACTAAAACTACAAGAGCTTAAATTACAGGATTTAAATGTGTTTGACACCAGTTTTTTTCCCAAATGGAGCTTCATGATACAGTAAAAACATAATATTGGACCGTTTTGATATTTCCATATGATTCACTGATGATGATTATGTCTCTGAAAAAAAACGATTTCAAAAAAATTATTTTTTTCAGGGGGATCCTGAACGCCAGTAAGCGAGCGGAGCAGGTCGGTCACTTCATGTGGATTGGGTCCGACAGCTGGGGAGCCAAGAACAGTCCCATCCACCAGCTGGAGGACGCCGCCGTCGGAGCCGTCACTATACTGCCAAAGAGAGCCACCATCAACGGTACGTCCAGCGTTTATTCATACAAGTGTATATCACTTTCTTTCTTTGGTCGGCTGCTGTGATACTTCTTACCGTCGGTATCATCTCGGTCTCCTGTGATAAAACTATAGACGATGATTATAAATCAGCACTACTGTATTAGTTCTTACTGGATTACTTACTGCGATTGATTGATTCCATCACTGTTGGGGGGGGTTTGGGGGGATAATTTCTGATTTAATGTTGTTCCTGTGAAGGTTGAAAGCTGCTCAGTGACACATCTAACTGCAGTGAATTAAGAGTTAATTTACTCTGGTTTGATGACATTAAACACAGTAACAAGGTCATTCACTGAGGCTCCAACCAGGACTCTGACTGTAGACCAGACCAGGACACAACATCTTGTTTCTGTCTGGTTTGAATGAAGTTTGTTTTAAGTTTACTTAACAAGGTCTTAGTTTGGTATAAGATAGAAACTTGAATGTTGTTATTTCCTGTTTAATGCAGTAAACGCGTTTTGTGGTTGAACTTTCTTGACATTTGTTGAGTTTATTTTCTCGAGTAAAGCTGTTAGAGCTCGTTACAGGTAGTGAACTTGGACTGACGGTGGCCAGTTAGAAAACTTTAACATATTGCACAACCTGGTTCCTGCAGGGGTTATATTTAACTTCCTTTCAATGAACAAGGATCTTCTTGTGTCCTCAGACGTTGGTATTTGTCTTTGACAAACATGCATTTTTCTTTGGGATGAGAATTTTATTTTACTGATGTTTAAACAGACGGACGGCAGAGTGTCTGTATTTGGTACTTACTGTTTGCGATATGTACTTTTTGTTAGAAGCTTGAATTGATACTCATCAGTTCTGAGTACCAGCACTTCAGATTTTTGTCCACGCGAGGACCCTTACTACTTATTGAGTGCCACCACTCCTGGTGAGCATGGTCGTACCCTCCACTGAGGTCACTGAGGTGTGATCTCACTCTCTATTGAGGGTTGTACAATAAAAGTCAAGAATAATTGTCTAAAAATAATTACTTTAATGCCCCAAAACCCTCCAAGGAAGTTCAGTTCAGACCTCAGTACAGCAATAATGGTGAGATACTCCTAAGCTAGTGTGTAACTGTCTCTGTAAACACAGCTAGCTTAATGCTAAGTAAACGAGAATCAGGCTACTGGACTCTTTAACAAATCATTTTCAAGAACTTTTTCTCTGACATACAGGACAGCACAACACAGTGCTGGTCAGTGTTTATGGGACACTCCACGTTAGCTTAGTCACGATCTTCACTCACAGCTCTGGAAATAACACTCGGTAGTCTCGAGGTTCAGTGGTAACTTTATTTGTTATAGAGCCAACAGTATACAGAAAAGAGAGAAATCCTCCCTGTGTCGCCCTTTAAACTAATGCTGGTTTCTGTACCTTACTTATTATATATTGGTGAGGAAGAACACTGACCCTGATATCCGAGGACCAGCGTGTCTGTTCCACGCTTTAACTTTAACCAGTAATTTAATTAATTAAATGCCATTTTTTAATTCAGACTCGTCTAAAAGTAATTAAACACTCAGAACAGTTAAATTGATCAGTTTAAAGTTTAAACACAGTCAGTCGTCCCTCCGTTAGCTAGCTGCTATATCCTGTTGTTTGTTCCATTATCAGATTTAAATGTCAGTAACACGTTGGGATGCTACAGAAATATGAAACAAACATATGATTGATTGTGAAGAAATGAAGATGTTGTTGATGCTATTAGACGAAGAGAGATCACTCTCATTGATTGATGGTTATTGATAACCTGATCTATGAGGATTGGACTCTGATGGAAACCACAGAACGTAGCTGACGGCCGTTACAGAGAATAATGTTAGCTTTGAGGGAGCAGGTTAGCTAACTGTCAGTCAGCAGATACAACAAGGCTAACTTACTATATTTGTGTTTAACTTCAGCTGGAACATTTATAGTTTATCTCAGTCTGTCCCTGATTGACCTCTAGATGAGCTGTGTGAGGTTCAATGGACTGAAACCAGCTGCTAGAGTCCCAAAGCAGGAACCAAATGTTGGACTAGAACTTCTAAAGGGGGACAAAGAGGACTCTTAAAACCAGTGGGGGCATTGGTGGATGGATGGGGGGACTGCTGCCTGCTGGGGTAGTAAAGACCTCATTAAACCAGCGTTGTTTGTTAATATAGAATAGAATATAATTTAACCTGTTTGTGAGGAGGGAAACCTGGAACTGCTCCTTTAAGCTGTCAGAGGCGATGAAGAGACGTTTACAGAGCTGACAGTTTCTCTGTGGGATAATACAGACGAACAAAATGCAGATCAGAGGATGGAGGTTGGAATCAGACTGGTACTGACGGCGTTCCTCTAATGACGGCGTTCAGTCTGTCGTATCAAACAAAGATGTTGACGAGGATATAAAACTGCGTTTGTTGTAGCAGTTCTGTTAAAATGAAGGTTTGGACTTCAAATAAAATATGAAACCTTTGTTCTTTGTGTTTTTTTTCTTCATACTTGTTTCGACAGCGAGCAGCTTAATGAGAAGCAGCCAAATCTGATTTTGCTGTGTGGAATCTAAATCCTCCTGCACACATAGAAAAGCCTCAGTAATCCTGTTGCCACTGTTTCTGTTGTAACATCAATTTCTGCCCCTTTTCTTCTCCTCAAAAACATATTTCCAGCGTCGTGAGAGGGGCTCAGAGTCACCTTGGATCTGCCTTCAGGGGCCGGCGCTCATAAACGGCGTCCTCTTCCCTCCACGTGCTCTTTGACACCTTCTGTCCCCTCGTTTCTGACAAATGATTCATGGAAAGACGTTTTTCTGGGCATAAAGACGGCAGAAGAGGATGCTGGGCCGTGACGGGCAGCGTGAGCAGCAGACCCATTCAATCAGAGCGGCGCTATAAGATGGGAACATGGAGGAAGAGTTTGGCTTTATGATGACCAGATTAACCTGCCGGGACCTTCATTAGATCCTAATTCCTCCCACACCATCAGTAGTTAGTGCAGTCAGAATATTACCTGCCCACATAGGTTGTGTGTTCATTTATCAATATTATCAATATTATCAATATGAACCACGCTGTAGTGTTAACGGTCTCACTCCCAACTTGTCAGATTCAGCCGATTGGTCCAAACTACTGCTGAGAGTATTCTTTAAGGTTCTGGTGGGTTTAGGGTTCAGTTGTATGCGGCAGCCACCTGTTGATCAATATTTGTTCATTATTTCATAAACTGAGCAGAAATAAATTAAAGGTTTGGGCGACTGCAGTCGCTAACAGGGCCTTCTTACAGTCTGGGGGTCTGATCCTGTCCCCCCTCACTCTGAGATTACAGATGGTGGAAATGGATGAGGAAGGACAATGGGATTATAAATAAATCAGAGGGAGAGAGACAGTGAGAGAGACAGACAGACAGGATAAAGGCTGTAGAAGAGGACTCTAGCTGAGATGGATCCAGTTTCTGGAGTCGAAGGTTTTTGATGCTGCAGAAGAACTTGTGAACAATAACCATCAGTCTGTAATCCTCCTGTTTATTATTCAGAGCTGCTGCTACATCAAAGTCCTCATACAGACGATCCTGGTCTCCACGTGCTCCTGATAATGGATACCTTTATCATGCTCCACCAGAGAGCTAACGTTACGCTATGAGCGGTTGATTGGCGCTCCACCAACCGACGGTTGGCGATAGATTCAGCTGGTTTTAACACAAAAGTTCATGAAGAGTTTTTGAGAATGGATCCAATATCACAGCATTCAGTGAATGAAACACACCAGAATATTACAGCTAACGAGCTAACGAGCTGCTGGCTGGTTTGTATTTATCTACAGAATGAACCTGAAACTTTAGTTTTCTGATTCACAAACCTGTGACGGAGGTCTGACTGCAGGCGAGGACACGCAGAGGAAACACAGAGGGAGGATTTTATGAGGAGAGATGTCAGCTCCCTCCTCTTCCTCCCTCCTCTTCCTCCCACTCCTCTCCATCCTCTTTGTTTGAACCAGAGCTGGTGGGTTCAGTGTACCCATGTGTACTCGGGAGATAGGAGGATTTTAATCTGGCTCTGTTTAAAACATGATCGCTATCCGCCGAGATGGATGTCCTCCTGCACATGTTTGCTCCAGTAAACAGGAAGTGACTGGGAGCTTGCAGTTAGCACGAATTAGCATGAAAGACGGCGTTCCACGGCTGAGGACCGGAGACGTTACGAATGTATCCGACTCAGAACTGAAGGTTTATATTTGTCCGTTTGCGTTCTATGTGTTGTATGCGTCAGCTTCCGTACACAGTAATCTCATTAATCCCTCAGATTCATTATGAACACTAATGATTCTGGTACTGATGTTTGAAATGAATCCGTCCAGAACCGGCAGCTCATCCTCAAAAAGCGAGTGTGACGGGGCTGCACGTTATAACGAGGCTTCATCATTATAGATTATTTATCTCGCTCCGCTGCCTCTGCTGTTATTCATCAGCTGCTACTGGATGCAGCCTGATTCACATTTATTAAAAACAATCTGTTTATGTTGTTTTACACATTTATAAGGTAAATACAAAAATAATAACAAAATTACAAATTAAAATATCCTGTGAATTTACAGATCTAATGTAACACAGTCCACCACACAGAGTCCACCACACAGGAATTATTAGACAAAAATACTATCTTAGCGCATATGTTAGTTGGCTAACGCTAGCTATGATGCTAACTTTTGTATTCTGACAAACTATGTTGATTTTAGCCAACTATAAATGATGTAGCGGTACAAAGTAGGGGCATCCAGTTAGCTAACTGTAGCTAAGCTAACTGGGGTTGTCTGGCTGTATCTTGGCTGTACGGTGTGGGTCTGGTGTC